GCTGCTCGGCCTGCTGTGTTCATCCAGCTCTACACCTTGTTATAATAGCTTTCCATAGCTGGTCAGTGGCAAAGTCTTTGCTCATTGTTCACCACAGGCTATTAGAGGGTGAAGGATGTGTTCTAAGTTAATTCTTTCATAGGATGTGGGCATCGCTGGCTAAGCCATCATCTGTTTCTCATCTGTTGAGGTAGCAGTGAATGTCCTTTTTGAACCAAGACAATACACATGGTGTAGGGAGACCCGCAATGCCTTAAGGAAGGGACTTTCAGGATTTTGACCCAGTGACAGTACAGGAACAGCAATTATATTTCCAAGTCAGGATGGTTTGTGACTTGGAGGGGAAATTGCAAGGGATGGTGTCCCCATATATCTGCTACTCTTGTCCTTTTGGGTGGTCATGGTTATGGATTTGGAAAATGCCGTTGATGGAGGCTTGGCGAGTTGCTGATGTCCGTCCTGTAGATGGTACAGACTGCTGTGCTGTGTGCTAATGGTGAAGCTGATAGTTTACAGCACAAGACCATTACTGCTTCAGAGCAGGAGGTCGGGTGATGATACCTGACCATTTGGTTTTGCTTTCTAACAATGCTTGTGCTTGCTTACACAATACATTGGGAACTCTGCTGTGCTAGGGTGCTGTGTAAGTGGAAATTCTTCTTCATTAAAAGTCCACATGTTATTAGGAGGCAAGGATGATGAAGGGGGAAAGGGTTTTACAATGTAGGGGTAAGTGCAGAAAATGAGTTGGAGTAGGAGGTGGGAGACAGAAATGCCAATTCTGGATTTGAAGCTTAGGAGGGAAAGGAAAGTCCCAGCAGCATCCAGCAGGATCTCCATAAAATCAATGTAATAAAGACTGTTCCAGGAGAAAGATGAGATTGTCGACTAATCCAGTAACAAACTGTTCTTTGTTCCCTGGTCTGTACCCTTGAATGTTGATGAAAAGAAACATGTTAACAAAAGCACTTGTTGGAATGGTATGAAAAGAGCTGGTGGTATTTCCTTATTGTAGTCAAGTGGCTGTAACTGCCTCCATTGATTGCTGATGCGATATTTAATTAAAGTGTTCAATCCAGTGAGTGCCTGGAGATTGGCACCAGACCGGAAACTTCCCTCATTAGATGTCAGGCTTCCACCTTCCTAACCCTGCGATGCTGAATCTGATTGTATCTGATGCCCTAGCAGGCTCCAAATCAGCTGAATATGGATTGAGAGACTGGGAAGGGGCTACACCAGACAGTGCATTCAACTTGTTCAAAGATGAAGGCAACTGGGTTGATTCGATCGTTTTTTTTTTAAGCAGTGAACATAAATCAATCCTGTTTTAAGAATGGCAGTGTGCCATTCAGGTGTCTCCCTCTTGGATAGAGTCAGTGCCTACTGTACTGGCACTGCATTGTTAAGGTTTGGGGTCAGGTCAGTGCCAAAGTGATAAGTGCAGGCCCTTTCTGCCATCCCTGAGGTGTCTGCACACATTCCAGCCCACCCTTTCCTTGAGGTCGATTTACGCTGGAACTGTGTGCCGACCCCTTGGGGTGGTGTTAAGCAGAAATGTGATTCCCTTGTGTATTGTTTTCTCCTGCTGCAGATTTCCCAAGCTGTTCCCTCCCCTGAAGCCGGACACGGTTGCTCGACGGACAGTGGAAGCAGTACAGACTAACCAGGCCCTCCTGCTGCTACCCTGGACCATGCACTTACTGGTCATCATGAAAAGGTGAGTCGGTTTAAAAACCTGACCCCCCGGTCATTCCCTCCCACACAAGGGCCAGTCTGCTTTGGAGGGAGGGGCCTGAGAGAGCTTCTCAAAGAAGAGCACGGGTGCCAATGAAGCCCTTTACTTTGGCAAACTCTCGGCGGTAAAGGGGACGTGGGGTTAAAGTATTAGCATTAACGGGCAAAAGTTAAATGTAGGATAGATTGCAGAGTGGCCAGCGTGTAAAAATCAATTGCTGCAATTTGCAGAAACCCGGAGAGGGGGGCAGCTGGCTCGTTCAGGTGGATTAGATGGGCCTCCTTTATTTAGACCTTGTGCTTGTAGCGAGAGTAAAAGCTGTCTGGGAGTTCTGCTGAACGAAGAGCTTCAGTCCCCTTTCAGAGAGCACGATACCACCCACAGTGCAGCTACTTAGGGTTGTGTCACTGACAGCATGAGAAGGTCACCAGTGAAATGAGCTGGTGATGACACTTTCTGTCAGGCTGTTTGGGCTTGTCTTCAAACCAAAGCAGGTCAGTGAGGTGAGAAAAATTTCCTGCCCGCGAGGGGCTGACACAGCCTCGATTGAAACTACTCCAGAGCTTCTGTTTATTCCTGACTGTGCTTTTTAAGAATAGGGGCGGTTTGTAAATCTACCAAGTCACTGCAGCTCCAAAGGGGTCCAGGTTTCTCCCTGTGCATTGCTGAGTTGGATCGGGTACTGAGGTGGCCTTGATTGATGGCTCCGTGGAAATTAGCGAGGAAATTAGCTCAGTGGAAATTAGCGAGGGTGACTGCTAACCTGCAGCTGCACTGCAAAGTGGGTGTGGGATCAGACTTTACCCTGCAGTGCTAACCCTCACTATCTAACGGCCAACACTGGCTGAGCTCCTGATTAAGAAAGAGCAGTTAAACCGTTGATAAATTTCCCCTGGGCCTGAGAGATTACAGGCTAAACCCCGCATCTGGATTTGAGAGGGCAACCAAGATGAATATTCCGATGTGGTACAGAGGGAGCATTGCATTGAGTGATACTAATTTTCCATTGCAATGATGAAATGAGATGCCATCTGCTTAGGGTGACATCATACTTCCTGTTGGCACCAACCGAGAACCAGAGGTTCTGGTACCCTGGCTAACATTCCTCCCTCAAATCAACACCAGCAGAAAACATTATAACTGGTCATTCATCTTTTCTGCTGTTTTTGTGATCTTACTATGCTCAAAAGTAGCCTCTCCTCAAACATGACTGTACCTTGGCTTAATGCAGTACACATTGGGACAGGCCTAAGTGAGGTGCTGTGCGGTTTAATTTGCAAATCGAGAAGCATTGTAATGAACAGAACTTTGTTTTGACCTTATTTCTCCCCCTCTCTGGGTTGCAGTATCCTCCCTCACACAGCTTTGGAAGAGATTTACAGGTTTACAGGAAGCTACGCGTGTATGGACAGCTTCAAAGGACGAACATAAGAGGGAGACCCCCACACTGATCCCACCTGAATCTTGCAAGCAAGCTGGAAAATGAACTTTGAACAGAATGTGTGCACTGCAGGCAGCTCTGTGGATGTTTTCCGTCATATCTTGCATAATGTTAAGAATTGGATCCACACAGTGGCATCAGTCCTGAGCTCCCTCAAGGCAAACTGTGTACAATCAAACTGGACGTTTAATGTGTGGACCAGAAACACAATCAAGGTGACTTGTTCCTTGAGTTAAATATCAAAATATGTGACTTTGGAGTGTTGGAAATGGTTCACCAGGAATGCTACATTGCTTCTACTCCTAAATGTGACAGTTGCTATTCCATGTGAATATACCAGATGTTTTTTATTCACACTGTGGCAATGACTCCTTACAGCTCCACTTGACTCTGTGTTTAATGACAGGAATGTCACAGAAATTCATCACTTTTCATTTTAAATCATATTGTAAATTTTAATATTTAAACTGTAATTTACTGTCTGGCCTAAAACCATTAACTATTTTTCCTCTTTCTTGGATTTAGTAAATGAATAAAATAGAAAACAAACTGTCTGGAGGATGCTAATGACTAGCTGCTTACTGGTGAAAGTATTCATAGGAACAGGGGTCATTTAGCTTCTCCAACCTGTTCGGCTCTTTAGTGGCAGATTTGTGATCTAACTGTACGTGCCCCTACCATTTGCTGCTTTATCCCTCAGCATTTTTGTTAATGTTGATTGAGCATCACTGTTTGTGGAATAGTCCCAAAATACTACTGTGTGGATGTACTAACCGTATGTGCATACAGGGTGAAGGTGGACATTCCCACTCTTAATTTTTCGACTGTCTCAATAAATGCATTGCAGGGTTTTGCAGGATTGAGTACCTGTATCTGTGGTTTGCCAGTTCTTGTCTCCTCCCTTGTATAATACAGGGATTGAGACTAGATCGAATTTTGGATTCTGCGCCCACATACAAGGTGGGAACAGTTCAGGTTCTGTGGTTATAGCCACAGTTGATGCTGAATCCCTAACAAGCGTCAGATTTCTGACACCAAAGCTCTACTTTGTACCTCAGGTACAAGAGAATGAGCCCTAGTGCTGTTTTATCATCGTGTTCCCACTGGGATAGGACGAGACCAGGAATGTTCCATCACCACGTGTCTCCCCCTACCCCCCACCTCACTGTACCTGCTCAGTATGAACCGACTTTCTCTGTACTCACTGATTCAATTAGGTAGAGGGACCGCAATGTTTCCAAATTGGATTTGCAGTCTATACTTCAACATTGCTGAAATGCTCCTAATGTACTTAACAATTAGATACAGCCTAAGAAGAGACTAGAAACTGAAGCTTTCCATCTTGCTCTCATTAGAACTAGGACACAAGAAACAGATGGGGGTGGGGTTGGAGCTGGGACTGGGACTGGGACTACTTTGTTTTATACAGCATAAGGAAAAGATGTTGATCGGTTGTGCCATCATTGGCAAGGAGATGCCACAAGAGCAGTTAACTATGAGGGGTGGCATAGTGGTTAGCACTGCTGCCTCACAGTGCCAGGGACCTGGGTTCAATTCCACCCTCTGGCGACTATCTGTGTGGAGTTTGCACATTCTCCCTGTGTCTGCGTGGGTTTCCTTTGGGTGCTCCAGTTTCCTCCCACAGTCCAAAAATGTGCAGGTTAGGTGGATTGGCCATGCTAAATTGCCCATAGTGTTCCGGGATGTGTAGGTTAGGGGGATGAGATGCCCCAAGGGTCGGTGTGGACTTATTGGGCTGAAGGGCCTGTTTCCACACTGTAGGGATTCTATGATCCTTAAAACAGGGGCCTGATTATTTATGTATGCAGTCAGAATCCTGTTTCTCTGTAGACAAATGGAATTTGTACTACTTTTAAAAATAAAGGTATCATGGAGAGATCCAAGTTCTGATGCATCCCCATGGTAATGCCCTGACCAATCAGAATCTACCTGTCTGTTACGAATTAAGATTGACAGTTAACTGTCCTTGCTGCATTTCAAGGCAATGATGGCCTAACCAATCAGTACCCTCTTCTCATGCTGTACAAAATGGTGTATTTTGTTTCTTGTCATAGCTGTGAAGACAGGAAGAGGGAAAGTTTCAACTTCTGGCCTTCCTTTTAGGCTGTACATAGTTATTTTGTACAGTGGTAGTTTTTAAAAGAATTATTTAATGGAATGAGCACCAGCATTTGTCCCCATCTCTAATTGCTCGGACAGTATGGCTTACTAGGCCATTTCCAGAAGGGTAGTTAAGAATCAACTACTCTGTAGTTAGTCACAGCAAACTTGCCCTAGGGAGGGGTTTTTAAAGTGTTTCCTTGTAGTCTGATTATTCCTGATAGGAAATATGTGTCGAAGCTGAATGAGGAATAAAGAGAAATCACATCAAACTGACAAATACTTAGTGCTAAGAGTCCCATGAAAAGGGTACATACTTGGTTGAGAAATCTCATGGTTGCCAGCATTGTGGGCCTTCGGCTATAGTTGGGCCGGATTGGCTTGGACTGGGGAGGGAGGCAGTTATTGCATTTTATTTGTCTCTGTTATCTCGTGGTCATGAGATGAGATCTTATCTGAGCCAAGGACAATATTTATCCATGTTTACCTGAATACATACGCTGATACCTGGTTATAATTACAGACTAATTAACTCGCAAAGTCCAAGGCTCACTGATAGAACACACAAGGAAACGAATGCTTACTCAAGGAGAAGACTAAAACTACCTGTGTAGTTTGAGGTTTTAAACTCAAAACAGTCTTAAAATGTGGTCTTTCATTGTAACTGCATACATTTATCAAAAGAAGACAAAGAGATAGAAACAAGTACTTTTTATCAAGTTGAATAAGAGCAGCCAGGACTAGCCCTAATACGACAGGCCACCAGGCCAGAGCTTATTTTGTGCTGACAGTGAGGGATGTTATGAAAACAGGAAGTACTGCAAATACTCAGCAGAGACAGCAACACTTAATATTTCTGATGAAATATGACTTTTCTTCACAGAACTTCTTGTTTATTTCTTCATAAATGCTGTCAGACCTGCTGAGCACTTCCAGCAGCTTCAGTGATTGGCTTTTATGTAAGTTGAGATGTTACTGCTGGAGAATGGACTGCTTTCAGTTTAAACCATCCAGTGACAGTGTTAGGTACTTCCAGGGCAAGTCTAACCCAGTTAAAATGTACAGCATGCATCTTGTGGCATTTCTTATGGAGCTTGCCACACTACCTCTTTTGCACACTGGAGGAGTTTGGGAGAATCTACCTGAATGTATTTCACACATTGCTTTGCAACTAAAGGAGGCTTTCATTCTTGGGAATTTGTTCCATGTTTATTCTTCAATAGAATCATAGAATCCCTACAATATGGAAATAAGCCATTCAGCCCATCAAGTCCACACCAACCCTGCGAAGAGCATTAACCACTAACCCCCCTACTCTATCCCTGTAACCCTGCATTACCCATGGCTAATCCACCTAACCTGCATATCTTTAGACTTTCGGAGGAAACTGGAGCAAACCTGCACAGACATGGGGAGAATGTGCAAACTCCGCACAGATGGTCGCCCAAGAGAGGAATCAAACCCAGGTCCCTGGTGCTGTGAGGCAGCAGTGCTAACTACTGTGCTGCCCCAATAATAAGGAATGGGCATCAACATTATCACTGGTGGACAGTAAAAGCATTGCAATGTGAATGTTTCCATATCAAAATGTGATGCAAAACAGTTTTGATTGAAGCGAGGGATAGGAGACATCAACTATAGGCTTCGGATGATGGGACTAATTCCAATGCAGTACAGAGGACAAAGAGGATACATACAATGATGAATGTTTTTAATAGCTGGGGAGATAAATATTCCTCCACATTGGGGAAGCACTGATGTTTCACGGAATTAAAATGATCTGGGAAAAGTGGAAGATGCATTTGGTATAATTCTTTTTAACAGGAGAGTTTGGAAGAGCATGAATTAATTTGCACTGGTGGAGTTGAAACAGATTACTACAGCTTTTAAGAGATTAATAGATAAATATTTAAAGTTTAAAAACACACTAAATAATGGGGAAGTAAGACTTATTTTGGATTATTTTAGCAAATGGCCCAGCATTGACACAACAGGCCGAATGGCTTCCTTCCTTGCTGTAAATGCATAGAGTACATGGACCTTAACTGGATGCTCAGGGCAGCTCTTAACTATAATTATGAGAATTTGATTTTCATTCCCTGTACATGTTACCCTATGTAAATCAAAGAATGGACAGCAATTTTAACAAAGGTCATTGTGGTCCCTGTAAACTGGGATTTCGCTGGGGTCAAATTGGCTCCAAACCTTGTGATAGGAATTGGATGTGACACAGTGCACCATGGCAGAGTTGAAAACCTGATAGCTAAGTCACATAAGCCTCAAGCCTTTGTTGTTGACTGAATCAGTCAACCCTGATACACTGATGAGACCTGAAGAGGCATCTCTATTACTGCAGCTTGGCTTGCTTCCAGCTCGATGCTAGTACCAGTCCCCAGTAACATCAAGTAATCAGACATGGACTGCACAATACTCACCAACCAGGAACAGAGATTTGAATTTACTCAGGCATCTGAAACTGTGTGGTGGTAAGCCATGTGGTGTTAGGTAAATTACAGCAGTACTCTTCAATACAATAATGCAAGCGAAGCCCTTACAGTTAGTCACTCTAGGAGATAGCAAACAGTTTCGAGACTGTCTGCGAGGCAGCCACAGATATTAGACCCTTGCCTCACAGGAAGATCTGTTTCTTTTAAAAAAATGATTGCGTCAACAGAAAATTGGGAAGTGAAAAAATTAAATAATATCTTAAACAAACAAAATTGAACATTCAGAAACTAGGATTCGGTGCAGTAAGTATCTTTTATCATAGAATCATTACAGTGTGGAAACAGGCCCTTAGAGCACCCACCCAGACCCATCCCCCTATAACCCACCTAATCCAAACATCCCTGGACACTATGGGCAATTTCGTATGTCCAATCCACCTAACCCACACACTTTTGGACTGTGGGAGGAAACCGGAGCACCCAGAGGAAACCCACGCAGAGACGGGGTGAATGTGCATGAACCAGGGTCCCTGGCACTGTGAGGCAGCAGTGCTGATCATTGAGCCACCGTGAACCTTGAAGTGGAACATCATTGACCTGAAACCTAGAAACGCTGCCTGCTGTATTTCTGCTTGACCAGATTCTCGGAACCACTGCAGGGGTTTATATCGGGCTAATAATTGAAAATGCTAGAAGTACCAATGCCTCGATGGAAGGTTACTGCCCTAAACATTGCATGGAGTTTTCCTGGTGCTTTGGTGATGGGTTTGGAGACTGAGAAAAAGGTTGGGGTTGGGGGAAGCTGCCTCAGGAGGTGATCCTAATGCATTCCCACCATCAGGGAGATTTCCTGAGGCCAGGCTGGGACTTGGACCAGTTGCCCGCACAGTGGGAGGGAACAGATAGCTTATATAATTAAAGCCCCAGTTAGGGGTGATGTTGCAGCGTCACTAGCACTTTACCTACAGCAAAGTAGCCCCTCTGCC